AGAGGGAAAAAATGTTAACTTACTAATAGCAGCTTGAAAATTGACAGTGTGGAGATGGAACCCTCTGAATCTCAGTACTTTTCATAGCTACTTGCTTAAAAACCATTAACTTATGCAAAGTAACAAATTTTTTGATTAAGGGAAAGACTCTCAGGTGCTTACAGTGATAGATTTCCTTTTCTGGTTTCCTTATGAGTTGTGAGAATTTGTCATAAAATTGAAGAATTGTGTGTATTAGAGCTCCGCACGGGGAGTGTGTTACGGGAAAGATGAGGTGGCAGCTGTATGTCATGGAATACAGTTAGTCTGATGTTATTTTGATGGGTGTGAGTGCAAATATCCAGGACTGGTGTAATACAAGATGGATATTTATAGGGTTGTATAAATATAAATGGGTTGTATATGGGTTGTAGTACTGCTTTCAGAAGAATGTCTTCTGGAAATTGTCAGGTTGTAGCGCACCCAGAACCAAGCTTTAGATTGGAGACATGAGTTTAGTTTTTAGGATTTAGACACAATCATGTTTCTGAATTCCACTAGAAGTGAACGAGCTTGAAAGCTGTATAAAGTCTTGGGCAGTTTTGAAAGTCCAAATAATTTCATTCTCAATGCCTGAGGCTGCAGTACAACTGATTTAACAGTACGTTTCATCTGTGACAGAGTTATATTGAAAAGTTGACAAAATTGATGAGTTCATTTCTTAATACAATGAACTATATATTATCTTCTGGATTTTCAGGTAGAAATACTGCATCACAAACACATCAAGAAGTGTCTTCGGCAGATCATGATCTGCTACCAAGACGTAGAGCAAACTAAAGAAGACTTGGTGGTTTCACTGTTAAAATCGTGATATTAAATTCTCTTTACTGACAACTTAATGATATAGTTTTAATTACTTTTGCATTCTAATTGCCATTGCTCTAAGAAAAAAAAACTTTGGAAGTTTGAGCTTTAGTTGACCTAAAAGTTGATTATTGCCTGGATATCAGAGAGATGCCCTCAACCTGTCCTTTCTGGATCAGTCTATTATTCTTTAAACTATACTGCGTTCTGAAAGATTCCAGAAAGCTTATTGTTTCTGAAAATCAAATCGTGGTTTTCCATTACGTTTTAAAATGTTTTGACTAAATTGTCTCTGTTCCTGTTTCTTTTTAGAAGCAATATATTACATGGAACTGAGGGAGATTTCAGATTCATGCATTCTTCATTAGATCTTTTCTGTTGCCTGTGAAACCTGTAGCGATCAATTATTTTGCATTATAGATCAATTATACCTCTAATGATGTAGCAGGTATTTAGTGGGAAGCTCTTATACTAACTCACATAAAAATGGCTGTAAAATAACTACACGACCTTCAATAGGTGCTGAAGGTGTAAGTAAGTGGTACAGGTGGCATATGATATATGGAGATCTGTTCATCATGGGTGTCGCTGGACAGAGAGTACCCTCATGTCTGAGCAAGAAGATACCAATGTTCTGGAATATGAGGGCATTAGGTGGACCAGTTGCTCCAGTGTCTGAATTGCTGACAGTGATCAATGGGGGGCCTGGAGATTGAGGAACATTTATTATACTGTGGTGATTCCAAGCCAGGGGCATCTGTAAAATCTTCACTAGGTTTTCAGTCAAACCTCACTTCTGTATAACTCCTCTTTCCTTGATTTTTATGGGTACTTCTGAGATGGCTCAAACTTGTTTAGGAATGGCAGTTGGCTCATCTAATTTAATTGAATGTTATTAATGAAATTGCATTTGCCAACAACCTTGGCACTAACACCCTTCATGTGCAGTTGGAAACACTAGTTAGTTACAAAGCAGTTGTTAGCAGATGGAAGTTAACAGGCTTGTATTAAAGTTTTCATTGTCTTATGGCTTGAAAATAAAGCAAGTTTACAATAACCAATTACAATTTGTTTATTATGTACTACAGTTAAAATTTCAGATTAATTTTTGGAGGTTTCTTATTTTGTACATTTGTAGTTGAATTTTGCATGATTTGCAGTCTAGACAGAAATTATTTTTCTGACAAATGAGATTGAAAGAAGACACTATGCAGTATTTTGTTCTAGTGGGTTTGCAAATAAATTGATACACTGAAGAAGACAAGACGCATGTAATTTTGCACTTAAAGTACTATGCCATTACTCATGAATTTTGCATGGCTATGGATTCCAAAAGCCAGCATATAAAGGAGAAGCTAGGCTTGCTAAGTATGACGACTGAATGCTGATTCAAACCTCAGACTGCATTTCTGTTTGCTATTAATAACCTTGTCATTGTTATTAACATCTTCCTTTTTTCTTTCTACTTTTAGCTATTTCTGGTTAAGTAGGTGTATGGGAATTCTTTTGACATAGTAAAACTGATCTGGGGAATAAGAGCAGCAGCTCAAGATTGCTGAAGTCATTACTTATCTGCTGGCATAGGCAGAGGTGCAAAATATTTGCTGTTAGGCTTGGGTGGTTGGAGGGTTTACAGAGATAACCCCAAACTCTCCAACATACGTGAGAACCAAATCCAGCCAGAGGTCAGGGCAAGTGCTGGTTCCCTGGACACATCAGACTTGTACCAGCAAGGCTCCTGTCAAGCCCTTAGGGAATGTTTGCCTGTCTTCCTCAGAAGACGTGTGCAGGGAATAGAAGGTATGCTAAGGGAAAGTGATGATGCTTCGCTGTCTTCTCGTTCCCATACCGTTGGCATTGAACAGTACACAGTATTGTGTAGTATTGGCACAAGGAAGTTTAATCACTGTTTCCAGCTCTCAGATTTGTGGCCATGTTGGTTTAAGCCTGCTGGGAATGATGGAAAAGCTTGTCTTTCAGTGTTGCTTTCAGATGAAATGTCAGCATGAAGTGTATGTATCTTATGTCAACTTGTCACTGGCTCAGCAAAAGTCAGCCGACTGTTGTGGACCAGTTCTGCATTCAAGTTACCTAACGCCTGCATTTGTCCCAGGTAATGAGCAGAACTTTTAGTATATGTTTCTGTACCTCGTCCAAAAAATAAAATAATCATTGCAACAGAATCTGTTGTGAAGGATTGTGCAGTATGAGCTTTTTAGGTTATAGCAGTGCTAAATATTACAGAAGTAATACATAAAGGACGTACTGAAAAGTTTTGAGTTTGACCAAAGTAGGTCAAGAGGCTCCAGACAGATCTCTGGGCAGTGATCCATTCAGATAGAGTGAAACTGCAAATCTCTGAAAAGAATCTATTGCAGAACAGGGACCTGCTTGCAAATATGCAATGGAAAATGGAAAGCCCTCTAATTTTCAATTTTACTCATTCTTTTTGGGAGATGACCTTTCCTTGTGTCTGTATTACCATTTAATGATCACCTCTCATTGCAGATTGTGGAGAATCCATCCTGTGATCTTCCTCTGTCACAGATTATGGGCCAGATTCTTGTGTTTCAGTCTAGGGGAAGGACTCCAGGGTAATCAGACTGTCTCAAGCCTTATCTGCCTACTTTTTACAACAGGTCATGTTTAACAAGAATGAGGGCTGTGTTGCAATTTACTACAAAGGAGTTAAACATCTGTCTTAAAATAGGTGTAGCAGAGTTTTGCCTACCTGAGATGAGTACCTCATCTACAATACCACTCCATTGCTAGGAAGGATGCTAGCGTCTACGTTGTCTGTACTCCTCTGCAGAAGCGCAGCCCCTTTACTGAGAACTTGTCTGTAGGGTTATGTGGATTGTCCACAGTGTGATTTAGTGTTCCTTGTGTTGGGGAATAAAATGACCAGCTACTCACCTGCACCACTGCTGCAGCTGCGTCTTCTGACCTAGGCAGAGCGATGCCAGTTCAACTGCAGTCTCTAGCTTGAGTTGATGTGAATATTACGTGTGCTGCCAACCACCAGATGGCCCGATGTCTGAGTTGTTGAAAATAGTAACATGCTACTGGAGTAATTATAGCATCTGTAAACTGAGCTAACAAATAGGTACCAAATGATGAATAACAAACAAAGGAAATACAACTTTTGAAGAAAAAAATGTATGTATAGGTATCACTTCTTAACTATTTCATGCTTTAAACATTGAAAGTGCTCTGACTGTATATCTATCTATAGTAATAGAATTTTATACGAAGAGCTATTAGTAAAATGGAGTTATGGGTATATCAATACTGTAATAGATGGCTGTTACTGTTTGTGTAGAGGAAATCAAAGCCTTATATCCTGAAGTATTTCGCGACAAGAGGAACTCCCTCTCAGAGTAGTATTGGTCTGTATGTTTGAACAAAAGCAAGAGTTTTCTCTTTTCCTGTGAAGTTCTGAGTATGCATTATTTGCTTTGTAAACCTCATTGTGCCTGTGTCCTATGCAAAACCTAATTATTCTCTGTTACTTCATCTTCTCTTCATTAACCCATTTGTTTGCTTTTTATAAGACTGGGTTGAAAGCTCTGCAGGGCAGGAAGGGAGAGTCTAATTCTGCACGGCACCTAATCTGATGAGACACTGATCCTTATTTAGGTGTTGAGAAACCCTTGGACAGCCTATGAAGTGATGCACCTAGCCTGCTGATTTTTTAAATACCTGCACTTAAAATCTTTTTTCTTGGCGATTTGGGGAGGAGACAGATGTTTCAGGTTCTCTTATGCTACTGACCAGATTTACCAAACATCTGTCCTGGTTTGTTAAAGAGAATGAAGTTCCCTTGATTATTTCTAATGCGAGATCCTAGCAAAACAAACAAAGAGAAACAGACCTCTAGAGGACTCTATGATAAATCATCAGGAGCAGAAGGAACAGATCTTTCTCTCTCACTATGAAACATCAGCTGGTCTGCCCTGTCTTCTCATGTATAATCCAAGTTTTAAGCACTGGAGAGGAACTGGACGTTTCTTTTATTCTCTTTTTTAATTCAAGTCTTTAGCTCCTTAAGATTTTTTTATTATTAATATTCTGTTGTGTGTTATCCTTCAGCAGTGGGAGAGTTGACAACTCCAAATATGTTCTTAACGTTTCTTTTTCTTTTTTTTCCCCAGAGCTTGTGTTATCTTGGGTGTCATATTCCTCCTGTCATCTCTATGTATTGTGATCAAAGCCATCCATGATCTTGCGAAGAAGGTGCTTCCAGAAGTGGTAAGGTGATTCATGTTCTTTAAAACGTTCTCTTTATTGCCTACACTGCCAGTGAGACTGAAGAAGGCCAGCATCTCCTTTCAGCCAGCCCCGTTGAACTCGGCAAAGCAGTAGCAGGTGCATATCCTGCGTGGCTGCACATACCAGTCCTAGTCTTCAAGCAGTATTTTTTCCTTATGTGATGGAGTCTAGTCTTTATGGGTTTTTATAGGCTTGACCCCATCTTTTCTTCTCCATGGTTACCTTTATGGGCCAAATCTTTCTCAGCATAATCACTTAAAGCATTTATACAGGACTGTAAGAGTTTACTTACGGAGAGGAGGTCTCTCTGGGCTTGATGAAAGTGGCAGAATTTTATGAGGAGAATGTTTCCACAGTTTACTACTCCAATGGCTTCAGTATTTTATTTTTAACGTGGAAAAAATGTATTTTTGGATTGTATTTTTTTGTTTTCCAGCTCTTGCCTCCAATTCCAGAGCCATGTACGAGTAGCAGGAATTTTTTTTTAACAGGTGAGGGGAGCATGCTGGGTGAAAGAGCTGGCTTTTTAACTGGTTCACCATGGAGCATCACAAAGGGCTTTTCTCCTGCTCTCTGCTTTCTTTTGGTTATGAAAGCCAGCCCCTACTTGGCCTATAGAGCAGCTCGCCCCAGCGGCCTTTCTCTCAGCTCTGCTCTGTCCTGTCCTGCTTGCTTCCTTTCAGTAGTGGGTATTAACTTCCCTGAGCTCTACTCATCCAAACCAGCTGCTCACTGGGAGAGCCATTTGGCAATGATTCCACTCCCAGAAGACTCTTTTTAATGTGCTCAAACAAAATGAGGCTTCAGTTCAGTTATTGCATATACAACCTGACTTGGACCTTTTGTGTTCAGCCTTCATGAAGTTTGGTCTGTTTGTAAGTGCGCGCAGGCTTTTGCATCAGGGCTTCACCCTGCCAAGTACCATTCTCAACACATTGCTAGAGAGAAACCTAAACTCCTTGCTTTCAACCAGGAGATGGAGGCAGAGCTGGAAAAAGAAGCCAAAATGGAATTTCAACTTGTTACCCACTGTAAGCAATGCAGATGACCTACTGGGTCCTGTGCTCTCATGGAAACTTTCAAGAAGCTGGGCAACTACAGAAGCTTATTTTCAGTAGTTTAGTGAAATTTGGGCAAAGATCAGTAGCATAGCAAAAGCCCATGAACTGATGCATTACAGAATTGCAGCCAGGTGCATTGTTTGCAGGTGAGTCATGTTCTCTTTGCATTTTACTTTTCCTCTTTTCCAGTCATCATAGTTTACTGCCTCCTCAGCTCTGCCAGCATAACAGCACATGTAGTTGTTCACCAGCCTGGTTCTGTCAAAATGATCTAGGTTAGCTTAAACACTTTTAATAGTCATTTCTTAAACTCAGCCAAAACATTTTGACAGAACTGGGTTAGGGAGTGAGCAGGGATGCCATTGTGCCAGTAAGGCTGAAGGAGATCCTGATAAGGGTGAGCGGAGACCCTACAGGTGGCCAGCTAAAGGACCACCTCTTAACTTGGCTGTACCCAAACAGCGCATCTGGCTACAGTTTGACTCCTATTTAGTGAGAAAATGAAATATATAGTCTTGACTCCGTGAAGCAGAAGTGAAGTAAGAAGGGAGGCTGCAATAATAATTAAAACACCTGTTTGGTGAATTTATGGTAGTGTAGATCAGATTATTTGGATGTCTCAGTCTAATTCATTGTGGGCAAGTGCTCTAATAATTCCAGCAGTAGGAACAAAAGATTAAAAGGTGCATCATACGTATTTCTCTCTTCCGTCATTACAGGTACTGTCTACAGGTGAAGGCTCTGTTTTTTGCATGGCAAGAAATGTCTCCTATTTGCAGCATCAAAGTTATTTATGACTTGCAGACATATTGTACTTCCTCATTTTTAATTTTTGAAATGCATTTACAGCAGGAAAAAAATATGAAATCAGAGCTACCGAAAGGTATCCCCGAAGAGAAGATCCCATTACATTTCAAGTGTCCTGTAAGAATAATTTGTAGAGATCCCTTTTGTCACAGACTGCCTCGGATTCAGACTTTGGTGCGCTAAAATTCTGTCACGTGGGTAAAAGTTAGGGTGGATACTGCTTACATTTGACACAGTATCAGGATAAACAGATAATTTTGTTCCTGTGACATCGGACTGACTGTTCTCGCTCATTTAGGCACTCAAGTAGTATCAACGGTTTGACAGATGTATCTGGCAGGGCACGGACTGTGGCTGACTAGTGGCAGGGCAAATGCCACATGCACACATGTAAAGGATTTTCATACCTTGCAATTCTGCCTGGAAAGTAGGTTAGAACAAGGGATGAAAAAAGATGGTACTTCTGTTCAATGTCTCTTAAATGACAAGGCAAGGATTCTCATTTCAAAGCCTTTCAGTACATGTCACTGTGGGAAACTGATTCAGTAAGGGTTGCATGACAGGTGAAATATCTCTGTGTAAACTAAGAATAACACTGAAAAATGGGGAGACCGAGAGAACAGCATTACTGCTGCAAGTTGTGGCCAGTGAGGTATTATGCCTAAGAGTTGCTACATTAAAAATAGTTGGGAGAAAAGGATGTTGTTTAATAGAAACCTTTTCAGTTGCTCTAGCTGTGCTTGAATCTAATGCTGATTTTCTGTTTGTGTAATGCTTCCTTAGCTGCTTTGTGTCTCAGCAGAAATAGTCGTTCTTCCCAGTTGTTTGGGTCTTTGCCGACTGAGTATGTTCTCAGCTAATCTGCAGCTGCCCAGGCGGTATCATTAGCATCTTAGCAGCGTGGAAATCTGCTCCAATTAAATCAGTAAGGGGGAGAAGTTTCTGCCTCTACTCTTTTATCTAGGGTGCTGTCTTCTACTTCTTGGACCGTCAATGAGCTAATTGCTAATGATCCTAATTTCTGTAATATCTTATCATATAATTTAGCTATAATGTATGGACACATATGGAAAAATAATAGAACAGCGTTTTCTGCTAATGGCTTTTTGCATAGCAGTGCAGTAACCAGTTCTGCATCAAAATAGTGACCTGAAATATTTTCTGATGGTGATTTCTGTATTACTGGGCTTTCATATTAGTGTGCTACTCTGATGCCAGGGAAGTATCCTTGTGGTGTGAACAGAACATTAAGACCAAGGAAAGGTAGTGTAACTCTACTGGTGTCCCAAACTGGTCTAAAACTAGGGTGAAGAGCTCTGCACTAGATTAAGAGGCCGTATGCTTCAACGTAAGTTCCCCATGTGAGTCACAGTCGCATGATTTTTTTTGTACAGTTGGTGTCTTTATTAGTCTTTCTTGAAGCAAAGGTTGTTGAAGATGTGGGTATTTTTCAAAGCGTCTTGTGAAATTTTAGATGCGTGACTTCAGTTTTAGGGGAGATAATGTGGCTAAAACCCAACTGGAAAATGCTGCTCTTGGTGTTCACATGCTGAGCACAAAGCTGGTATTGTCAGTCTCGAAGACAGAAATTGTGTGGAATGCATTCCTCTACTGTTCGCGGGGGATTCAAGATTAACGTAACGTTAGTTACGTTAGCAACATGACTGCATCGTTCTCAGAACTATAAAGTCTCTTTTTACATCTTAGTTTGTGGTAAACTTCAGTGACTTTGTCAGAGTTGAAAATTGGGAGCAGTTATAATCTCTCTGAGTTCATTTTAATTTGCGTAAGTTTTGGAGAAAATAATATGATATGGATGAGTTTAATTTGAGAAATGAAACAGATCGAGCAATTCATTATCTGCTTGCTAATTGTAAGGTGCTATGATCAAAATCCTGAAAGCATAGTCAGTCACTTCTGAATAATTCTGCATCAATTATACAAAATTCATTGTATTTCTTGTTGCATATAAGATGCATTGGTTACATATCTGTCAATTCTTAATACATATGTAGCAAAAAAGATATTTCCTTGGAAAGAATTAATGAGACCTTTAATGTAGAGATTCTGTTGTCCTTGAAGTGGATCTCAGAAGAGTTGCTTTCATGGAAATAGTGCCAATAAGAAAGGATAGAAAATTCCCATGACTAAGAAATCATTTGAAACATTTTTTCAAATGTTTTGAATGCAGATCTTCTTATGTGGACATTTAGAAACAGGAGTCTTCAGTAATGTTGTCATTTCATATGATGATTTCAGCCGCAGGTCTGACGATCCTTACCAGGATTCGGAGAACCAAAAGGAGAATGACAGGTTTACACGTTAATGGCATTTCCAGCTCGACTACCCCATCCTGTAAGGGGCTTAAATGTCCACAGTTTCTTGTTAGACTGCAGACAGGAGCTACTTAATTTACAGGACAGGAGCTCAGGTTTAGCTCAGTCAGGCATTTTTTGGTCATCTATTTGAATTCTCTTTTATTCCATGCCGAATGTAATTTTGTGGAAACACTGTGAATGACAGCACTCCTGATCTGCACTGGCATAGAGGAGAGGACAATTAGAGCTCCTGACTTTCTGCATTTCTTAATACTGCTTCTGCCTTTCTTTTCTGCTTTTTGTTTGGTTTACCTCTTTCTCTGTGTTAAGTAAAAATAAATAATAGGTAGTATATGTCACTACACATGCTTCCAGCACAGGCAGTGTTTTCTGTAATTCTTTTGAATGCTTCAAAACCTTGGGAAACAAAGAAATGGTGTATTTTTCCTTTTGGTTCCCTTGCTTCATATGCCAAGGACTGTAGTTACCTTTGCAATAGCCTGTAAGGCAGGATATGAATGACTAGGTAGATTAATTGGTTTAAAATATGGATAAGTTTAATGATAAGTGTTTGCCTGGAATTTTGACTCCTGGTAGTGTGTGTGTTTTCTATACGCAACAGCAACCGTGGCCATACTGGGTCAGGCTAAAGGTCCATCTTTGGTCATCACTGACTTTCTTTGTACCTTTCCTTTTAGTTTTATCTCCATTTTTAGATGAGAAATCCTGAAGAGCCCACAGGATTCAAGGTATAGGGGTCAGCAGTAGGTTTTATAGAATATGTTCATTTTTG